TTACATAATGATCTAATATTTTAATAGACCAAAGACTAGCAGGACTTTGTGTAAGCACAGATAAAACCTAGTTAGGGTAACTAACTACTGCCTCTGGACAGGGGTGCCACCTCATTGCCATTTTCAGAAGGTGCTTTAAAAGTTTCTGACTAAATCTTTTGGAAACAGGTATTTTCACATCTATCCATTCTATACTGTATTTAAGAAATAGGTATGTTACTTCTTAACATATATATGTCTTTCATATCTATCTAATATTTTTCAAGAAGACAGTGAACCCGAGTCTGCTGCCCAAAACGTATGCCATGTGCAAAAATAATCAAAACCCATGCCCATGTGGACATTCACTGACAGCTGAAGTCATATGCAAGATACAACCAGAGACCAACCAGAGGAAAGTAAATGGCTGCAAAGCCTACCACAGGTAAGTACTGTTGGAAGCAATGTGATAACTATGAAAAGGGCTCTAACGGTTAGCACAGAAACACTTGATGCCAACTGTGCTTTAGGAAATGCAATTCCCTAAGCACTTTTTGTGATTAAAAAGATTAGTATTAAAAGCAAACAGTAAACCCCACATGAATATTCTTTCATCATCAATTTCTGTTCTTAGCAGAAAGAATCTTCCAGCCTGCAATGTACTGACAGAAGTGGGAATAGGATTTCTCCATCCAGTAACCAGACATCACAAGGAGGTGAAACAATTTCTCTGAAATATGGTCCAAGCCACATCCACAGCTCTTCTGGCACCAGAGGGTGACAACATGGCTGATGGAGCTCAGTAGTCCAAATACAGTCAAAATCTCTTTTGCAGTATCTTACACCAAAAGGGGAAGAATTCCTAAAAAAATGTTGTGGGAGTAATCCCAACTCTGAGATCATTTAACAGACAGCTACAATAATCTCCTCAGTAAATTAATATGGGTTGTCAAGCCAAACAGACTACAAAATAAGAAAGCCATGACTGTGCCATCAAGATTTGCTAATCATAAATATCCATTTCAAAAACATTCTGAAACTCAGCTGAAATCAACTTACTATCTCCTTTATTGACACTTTCAGAGAAGGAAAAAAAAAGTGGCCCACCAGCAACCCAGAAAAGAGAGAATGAGGAACAACTGATATCTGATGCGTCTTTAGAGAAAGACTGAAATTATTTCATCATAGTGCTATTTACTTTAACATAACTAAAAAACAAACATTAGCTTAGAAGGCTTCATGTCCAGGGTACTGAATACTGCTGGCAGATGTAAAGGAGTTGCTATCATCACTGAGCCCTGTGCTGCTTTTTTCAGCAAGCTCTGTGCCAAACTGGAGCATACTGCATAGGCTGCATGTGTTAAACTCTAGAGAACAAAATACGACTCCAGAATGTTTTTATTGAAATAAAATTAAAACATTATACAATTACTATTATTATGACTACATAATTAGATTGTCTGCATAACAGTATTTTACCGTAGATTTCTTTAGGATTCAAAGGCTGTTACACCACTTTACTCAGGAATAACTTCTATTAATATCCATGTAATAACTGCAGTAAGTAACATTATTTTAATTTAAAAATCACTCTCTCTTCCTGAAAAAATAGAAAATTTTTAGAAATTTTCTAATTTTTAGAAAAATTAGAAAATCCTGAAAAATATTATTAGAACTAAATATTTAATAGTCATTTACATGGAGCATAAGAAAAGCTATTCATCTCCTATCACAAGACAAAATACTTATGGAATTCCTTCACAAAAAGAGATAAAGACAAACCAAAATCCAATATAGACATAACAAATTTCCCAAGCTGACATTGCATTATAAATTATTTATAACATATAAATAGGTGCAACACTATTCCAGGTCCATTGAAAAAAAAACAAAATGGCATCACACAAGAAAAATGGCACAGCATAGCTCTCTCTTACCCACACTACAACTGAATGAATGAAATGCAAGAGGAGATGTGCTAAGTTACTTGATACTTGCTAGTCAGCTTAATCAGATACTCTCAGTTTCCTGCAGGATGGATAACAAACACTGTTCTGCTGCTTACTGCACGCCACGTCTGCTAAAATATTTTCTGAGGCAGACTGCTCCTAAAATCCTCTGAGCATTTAACAACATGGGGATCTGGAACCACACAGTCTGATATAAGAGAAGAAAATTTAAATAAAATAGTAAGTTACAAGATATTGTACATGGATAACTAAGATGAAGTAAATTATAAGGTTATGAAGACAGATATCAGAGTTCCTGAGTATCCTTCACTGTAACCCTACCATGTCTAAACCTGACTTTATGCTCCTGACTGCTCTCTGCACTTATGTTTAAAAACCAACTCAGTTCAGAAAAATGCTTGAATTAAGTAATTTTTAAAAATCTTGTCTGAAGCGTTATCTCAACAACAGAAAGCTCAATATATTCAACATAATGGATACAAAATAACAAAAAAGTAAATTCTATTCTTAATCATGACATGCATTTCTCTGTGAAGAAAGATTAAAAAAGCATGAGCAAAACTACTGCCATGAAGAACTAGGATTTAATGGAAATTCTTCAATGCTTGAATGCTATTGAAAATACTTGGAACCCTTTTTTGTTCAGAAAGATATATGTAAGAGGTACCATTTATTTCCACAGCAAGCTGACTGAAAAGCTTATTTTGTACCTTAACATCAGTAACTGTATTAATTTTCAGCCCAACTATATTCATACATTAGTACTGTTACGCATTTTATTAATAACTATCTCACTTCATCCAACTAAAGTTTTCATCCATTAGATATGCACATTTTTAGGGGAAACTGGAAAGATTTATCTTCAGTTTTTCTTTACTGAGGATACACAGATGAAAACAACAGGGTGGGAGAGGAACATGAGAAGCAAGAGACCGTTAAAGCCAAACAACTTGCCCTCCAGGTTTATCCTTTACTGAAATTCCTTATCCCTTGCCCAGTTTACACTGAAAATGAAAAAAAAAAAACCAAAAAAACAACTGACCACTTTTGTCTCTAACAGTCATCCTCACTCCAAAAAGCTGAACAGATAAAATATAGAAAAAAAAGTTAGATTTCTCTCTCACTTCATGAAGAAAGTTAAAAGCATTGCGTCTTTCTCAAGTGTTTTCCTTGCAACCACTAGGACATAAGGCTTTGCTAAGCCACTAGCAGCCATGATGCATATTCCCCACTTTCACTGCCTCCTTTAATAAATTGTTCTTATAAGAATAAAATAAACTACAGACAGTAGTATTCAGACCTACTAATAAAAGCTAGGAAAAAAAGCTTTACATTTTCAACCTCAACGTCACCTGTCAGAACCCTTCCAAAAACCATGAATTTTTAGAAATCAATCTTTTTGAATGATGAATTTTCCCTGAAAACAACATGAATTCTAAATCATTCACCCTTTTGTGATTTCTAGCTACTCACACTCCATTTTTGCCACTTTCAGAATAAAGTCAGCTTACACTGCACACAAAGAACTATATAGCTTTTATTCCTAAAAAAATTGCCCCACATTTTTTGTTATTGCCTTGATTTTCTACTCTTCTAGTCTCATGTTTCCCTCAAATTCCCATCCACTGAAAAAAACCAAAACCCCAACTATAAAAATCTGAAAAATTAATAATAGATTTAACAGAAAAGTTTTCTTACTGACAAACTTTCAAAATATTTTTAGTGACAATATGTAGGAGTGGTACTTAATTTTACCTGTTCCTTTTCCAAAGAGAATCCTTATAATACTAGGAAGGCCCTAATAAAAATAGAGCACTCTCTGTGTCAAGCAATTTTATTTAGTCATTTTTCCTTCAACAGATAATGTCCAAGGTATTTAAAAAAAGACAGTCAGTATTTGTTTAACCTTGCAGGATTAGACAAGCATTAAAATTTACATTATCTAATAACCTCAGAAGAATTTAGAAAGTATCCAGCAATCTCAAATATTTAGGTTCTATTTATTTCAGAATTTTTCTCTCCTAAAGATCACATTGCCTTCTGTCTGAGTGCCTCCAATTCGTCTTCACCCTCTCCCCTGGCCTCAAGTTATCCACAGCCCCTCTTTTCCCTGTCCAGGATCCAAACAAAGGGGAAGTCTGAGGTCCAGGTGTATTTTTCCCTAGGCAAGCTAGAGCCAGATCTCTTGCAACAGAGAACACCCAATACAGTTGCTTCCCTCGTCATCACAGGAACATGCTGTACAGAAACCACAATCCCATGACTCAGAGCACATCTGAACCAAGAAGGTCTGAGATGATCCTCTGTCTCCACTGAGCACTGGGAACTTGAAACTACATTCCTAACTGCTTCTTGGAATTTCCTTGCCCCCATGCAAACTTAAATCCATACAATTCCATTGTGCCTTTCTCTCTTTCACCATCCTTTAGATTTTTTATGCAGTTTCTGCCTTTCATCCCACCCTGTGTCAGAGTAGGATGCTGTGTAGTTTCACCTTTACACTGAGCACCTACCATTCTATTACAGCTCAAAGACAAGATGCCAATTCCATTGAAAAAAAAAACAACAAAACAAAACAAAAAACCAAAACCCAACAACCAAACCCCAAAACATTAAATTATAGTGTTCAAGGTAATGTTGAGTTTCCCTCTCTTTTTAATCGTGTCAACACTAATCAGAGAGAGGACAACCAATTCCACTCTGGGAAGATTAGTATAATACATCTTGTCATACCATGAAAGTTGTTTCCTTTGTTTCATTAATATTTATTTATAAACAGTAGATTTTTCAGTATCAGAATCAAAATTTGAGAAAATTATATTCACAATTTACTTTCTACCTAGATATTTCCAGATTCCAGAAGAAAAAAAAAAACACACCTCCACCAAAATACTTCCCAAAAAACCTGTTACAGATAAAAATGCCTAAAAACAGACATATTTGTTCTTCTGTGGTATCCTCTGGATACACTGCCCACTGCTTCAATGCACTAACAGCATTTGGTCTGAGCTCTGCCTTTTAAAGACTTCAGATGAAACTACATCTACTTACTTTGTGTCTCTGACGAGAGGCGCGCTTCCCAGTTTAAAACACTTTTTTTCACCTCCACAAGACGTTTGCCTCAAAGAAAAGCTTTCTGCCAGATCAAACCCTGTGAAATATGACACAATGATTTAGTTTAATGGAATTTAAAAAAAAACAAGGTAAATACTGACTTTTAGCATGCTTGCTAACTTTCCAGAACACGGACTGACAAGCTATTTTGAAAACCAGTACTTTTAAGTCAGAGAAATTTCCAATATTCATTTTATCGACACAGAAACTATCAGTGCAAAATTCTCTCACTAGATGACTTTGCAACCTGAGAAATGCATTCTTTATTTCCTTCTATTGTCTGAACTGATAAGAACAAAGGACATTTGATAAAAACAACGGAAGTGAGTACAGCTGAAGAACTTGAACCAATACTTTGTAAGAACACCATGCTCTGATTTTAACCCCTTTCCTAAAAACAACAGCTTTTGGAGCATAGGGGTGGCATTCCATAAGGTCCTTTCAGTTTTAAAGCCAGCTTCAGTCAAACTATGATTACATCCACTACTATAAAATTAATTTAGATACTGATATGAGTACAGCCAGTTACCTGAAACACCAAGACTGCCTCTGTTGATTTGTTTGAGATGATGGACAACAGTTTTCAGTAAAGGACATGTAGCACCTTCAAGAGAATACAGTTTAGCATATTTTATACATTTCTTTCAAACAAAAAAAATCAGAACAAACTACCATGACAGTGACAGTAATATCAACAAGAATATTTTTGTTCATTTTCTTTTTTTACAATATGCTAACCAGCAATAAACAAATTACAAAATCTAAATAAGAGAAATATTTCAGACTGCATACTACATTTCTAATAATATAAGCAGATACAAATTTTATCATGCTTTAATTCAGCTGTTTGCGATTAACGCTCACAGGAACAATTTAACCAGAAGAAAACCACTAAATTCTTACCAGCCTCTCTCCATGTACAATACTCTATAAAGCAATAACCTCTGTCCTAAGGGGTTTAGCGGTTTTGTTTGGTTGTTGTTGCTGTTGTGTTTTGTTTTAGTTTTTATTTCTGGCTACATTCTTAGAAAACCTTTTTCCCTTACTAAGGAACAGGAAACAATAAAGCATAAACGCTTGATTACCATGACAATAATCTATTGTTGCTTCAGTGAAAAAGAATTCCAAAATGTGGATTAAAAAGAATATAATTATAATAAACAATTTAAGCAATAGTTTTTTTATTGTAATGGCTTACAATTAAGCAGCTTTTGGGGGGATTAAGTCTGTATTTAGATAAACAACCAGCATGTTCTAGGATGTGGAACATGGCAAATTCTAAGGTTAAATCTAATTGAACACTTAGATTAAACACTGCATTATTAATATTAAATATCTTACTTGCATAAAGTCGTTTCTTATTTCTATGCACACAGAGGAATAGATACTTTTAAGAAGCAAGTGCAAAGAAATGTGACTTTTGTGCATGGGTCAGAAATGGGGCTCTTTGTTAAACAAACTTTGTAAATAGCCCTGCTAAACTCTAATAAAAATATCAAAGGTGCCAAGCAGGATTTGACCCATGCACTTATCAAGCACAGAGTTCCATATTGAGCTGATGCAACTAAAAAGATAGCCAAGGTATAGCTGAAGCTGCTGAATGGGGTGGGGAGGGGTGGGGGAGACTTTCCGAAGTGTCAGTTCACTTAAAAATAAAAGGAGGAATGTCCTACCACTAACCTGGAAATCATCTATATCTAAAGATTTCCAAGGAGCATTCAGACTGAAGGGTGGCATCCAAAATAGCTGTATTTGTAATCTTAAAGCATGTGAAATTTGTCATTTGTTCTGTAGCAATGTAGAAAGCATATTATCCCTCTAAAGTTTTAAGTTCTATTAAATGTGTTCGTGTACCTCATCTGGATTAAAAATGGATAATTGGAAACAATCAATAAAAGTGAAACTAAATCATTTAATTGAAAGATACCTCCTGACAATATGGTTAATGAGAGGTATGTCAATTGTTTAAAGGACAGACCAGGTTAAAGGCATTTTTTCATAAGATTCATCAAGTTCCATGTCCTTTACATCTAAATTGTGATCTACACTTACAAGTAACATCACTCATAATTTATTTATAAGGCTCTAAGAAAATGTATTCCTTCCTTCATTTATGCACTTATACAGACTTTCATCTGTAGCCACCCTGAAACAATGAATGCAATTATAGAAGGTTTACACATGTATACCTATAAGAAATATATTCTTGTAAAGGAAGTATGTTATGGCTGAAAGCCACAATAGCATGTCACACATACACTGACAAAAGCTTTTCTTAAATTTAAGTGTTTTCTAACCAAGGGGTGTTTTTTTTAAATATATATAAGATGATGGGGCTGATTCCTTTTTAGGTTAAATTAATTTACACTACTTACAGCAAAAGCAGACAGATAATACTTATTACTGAGTTTACCCTGAACTGCTGTAGTAAGCTATAGAGAACCTGGGATGCAACTGCATGGGTTTTTTTCAACATTGTCTTACATGAGAGCTGATGGGAAAATAATGGGGAGTTTTAACTTATTCCCCCCACACACACTTTTTCTTCCAAGTCCAAATAAAGACTCAAGCCTCAATTTCTGTGTTATCCAGATGATAGCAATTATTCCACACATGCCACAGACTGGACTGTGGACCTATTTTTATCAGTGGTCTAACAGTCACAGCATAGGATATTTAAGTGTTACTTATTTGGTTGTATTCCATATCCCCAGAAGAACTGAAAGGGTTACTATTAAACTTCTTCTATCTCATGCTGCTGATGCACTCTTTTAGACCAGTGTTATTATTTTTACCAGAGAGCTAAATCAAAACTCTAAAATATTAAACCCAAAACTTCTCCATACCAAGACTGACAACTTTCATTACTGTAGATTGATGAAAATTCTTTCTACAGTTACAGTTTGTACAAAATAAGTTAGCCTCTTCCAAGATTTTTAGTACTGCTGGCAGATGTTTAAATTTTCTTTGGCCTGAGACAAAACAGACAGTTTACCCATTCATCCTGTGCGTAGCTGAATTAGAAGATCTACATGAAGACTTTCAGGAAGAAAAAGAACAAAGACAAACCCTTACCACTAATCCCGGCAAAGAAACCATTCACCTATCTGCTCTGTTAGAATATATACTGTAAAACTAATGAAGCAGTGAAAAGAACAAGATTATGCTTGAGACTATCTTGCTCTGCATGTGATAAAACTGGTTCTGTGTGGACTGAAGTCAACGATTCATGTTAAAATGGTGATGTCAAAGCTCAGGTTAAAGTACCTATAAATTAATGAGATCACTTAGCCATAGGACAAAACTACAGACCTCACCTTTTAGAAATCAATGAGCTCTACATAGGAGTTTATTATTACGAAATCAACCTAAAAATTTTGAAAAACATGTACTCATGCAGATCAAGCAGATGTCACAGACCACTGATGATCTGCCTCTCCAATAAGATGCTAGTAAATTTTTGTTGTTGCTTTCAAATAGCATTAAGGAAAAAAAATAAAGGCATTGCATGTAGATGTTTCTGCTGCAACATGCAATGGCACGTTCTCAATTCCTGCAGTAATCAGGGCACCTGCTGGAGCATGCTGCAGCTTCTATCTAGGCCTCATGCCCAGTTTTCCTTCCCGTGCAAATGAGGACTGAGGAGCCTCTCGTGCATGCTTCGGTCTCACTCTTACAGACATCTCTTGTCTGCACTTTCTGACTGAGAACTGTAGCTTCCAATAGGCATTCTTGGCTTCTCCAGAGTATAACCTGTAATCAATAGATTCACTTTACAACTACCTATCTGCTACTTTATAATTAAACTTTATGTTCAGGTGAAATTTCCAGCTGCTATCTAACACTACTGACATGCACATTGCAAAGGTACCAAAGTTTCCATCAGTAAGCATGACTGGCCAAACAACAAAGCCCTGCTTAACATATGCCCACATTATATGTCAGACTCATGCTTCAGGGAGAAATCCATATTAGCTACGATTTGTCTCACACTCTTTAGGATCGATCAGGCTTCCTAAATATATACACATAAGGGATCACTTCAGAGTGTGTGACATATCTGCAAGTGTCAGCAATAACATCCAAAGAGTCCACCTCAAGGATAGCTAAGCAAACCCAGCTGGCCTGCTTACAAATAAGGTCAAGAATTCAGATCTTATACATGCCTGTAACCTCATGTATAGAGGTACCAGAAAATAAGATGCGATTTTTTTGTTTTCCTTTTTTACTCCATAAGCTACATCATATTACATTACAATATACATGTTAACTAGACAAGAGTGGGAAGGGGAATGAAGGAGACTGAATCTACAACTTTGTTGCTATAAGAAAGAAGTCAGCTCCAAGCCTTCTGATTATTTAGATGGTTATGCAAATAACATAACAGCTTTGGCAGGCAGGATTCAGAAATCCTCACCAATAGAGTTGAGATACTAGGATGCTCACGCGAAACCCTGGAGAACTGGATTCTCACATGACGAAGAACAAGTAGTTAAAAAAAGGACTTCATGTTACTCAAGACAGCCAGCACACCTTCACCAAGGGCAAGTCTTGCCTGACTAACCTAGTGGGTTTCTATGATGGAGTAACTACATCAATGTAAAAGGGAAGATGTCATCTATCTGGTCTTCTGTAAGGCCTTTGACACAGCTCTTACAACATCTTTCTCTCTAACTTGGAGATACAGGTTTGATGGATGGACTGTTTGGTGGATGAGGAATTGTTTGGATGGTCAAGTCCAGAGGGTAGTAGTCAACAGCTGAAATGTCCAGATGGAGGGCAGTGATGAGTGGCGCTCCTTAGGGGTCTGCACTGGGAATAATACTGTTTAACATCTTCATCATTGACAAAGGCAATGAGATCAAGTGCACTCCCCAGCAAGATTGCAGACAACACCAAGCTGTGTGGTGTGGCTGGCGTGCCTGAGGGACAGTATGTCATGCAGATGCACCTGGACGAAGCTCAAGAAGTGGGCCTATGTGAACCTCATAAGGTTCAACAAGGCCAAGTGCAAGGTGCTGCATCTGGAACAGGGCAACCCCCAGTATCAATACAGACTGAGGATTGAAGGGATTGAGAGCAACCCTGCTGAGGGCTTGGACGTACTAGTGGATGAAAAACTGAATATGACCCTGCAATGTGCTCTCACAGACTAGAAAGCCTCTGGGCTTTCTATGCTTGGCTGCATCAAAAGAAGTGTGGACAGCAGCTTGAGGGAGGTGATGCTGCCCCTCTACTGTGCTCTTGTGAGCCCTCACCTGGAACTTCAGCACAAGAAAGACATGGACCTGTTGGAGCAGGTCCAGAGGAGGGCCATAAAAATGATCAAAGGGATGGAGCACCTGTCCTATGAGGAAAGGTTAGTGAGTGTTATCTGGAAAAGAAAAGACTCCAGGAAAACCTTATTGCAGCTTTTCAATACTTAAAACGGGGCTTATAAGAAAGATGGGGAAAAACTTTTTGGCAGGGCCTGCACAGGACAAGGGGTAATGGTTTTAAAATAAAAGAGGCCAGATTTAGGCTAGATACAAGGATATTTTACCATGAGGGTAGTGAGACACTGGAACAGGTTGCCCACAATGCTGGTAGATGCCCTATCCCTGAAAACAATCGAGGTCAGGTTAGACAAGGCTTTGAGCAACCTGGTCTAGTGGAAGATGTCCCTACTTATTGCAGTGGGGTTGGACTAGATTATCTTTGGAGTTCCCTTCCAACCCAAACTATTCCATTATATCATGGGTGAATATCATGGCTGTGATATTACTGATGTAATATCATGTGTAACTGTACTGATGTACAGTTCTTTCTCTGCCTTTCCATGAAAAAAAACAGGCCGATCTGGTTTACAGGCTTCACACTGGGAGGATGTGTGTAGCTGAGAAAGACCCCAGGCCACAAAGGGGAACACTTCCATGCTACTTAGTCACTAGCTGATGTGGCTTTCCTCAGGATGCAGGCTTTCATGATCCACATTCTTATAAATACCTAAAGATCCTTATTCACTGCCACAAAGGATTTATCATTTAACTACAAGGAATTCCAGGGAGGCAGGGTCACTTAACTACTCCAATGATAGCAATAGTTTGTGGATCCAACCTTAAAAATTCAGATTAACAACACAACTAGATTGTATATGAGAGTTACTGTAGAGCCATTAACTGAATTTTGAGAAGTATCTAGACACTAAAACATGAAAACCAAAAAGCTGAACTTATCTGCATACTTGAAACAACTCACTGTATTTGGGTTAAAGTGCCTATCTAAATTATGATCTAGAGCCAATACTTTTCACAACACATTCCATGTCAAAAGGCAATGGAAATTCACTATGCCTGTCAGTCCCAGGACTTTGTTTATGCTACATTTTTCATGGGTTAGCAAGTGATTTTGAAAAACAGTAACTGTAAAACAAAGCTGAAAAATCAGCAATGATCTGGGAGCGAGACAAAGTATTAATATTCTGAATATTAAACGTTCAGGAATGATCAAATTAGAACTTCATGTGTCACTAAAGAAAGAGGTCATATCCACACTCCAAATCCAAACGTTCCCAAAAATTAAAAGATGTAAGCTGACGTAATGAAGAAAATATTCTTGAAGTTAAATCAAAAACCACAATTGTGGAGAACTCCTGAACCCTATCCCTCAGATTTGCTATATTCTGTCATTAGAATCAAGTGCTTCAAAGCAAGTGAACAATTGGCGTATCAAAATTTCTGGGCAGGTGAGAACTGAAAGAAATCCTTGATGTGAACCTAATGGTCACTGACACACATTTAAAGTCTAAGGAAGACCACTCAGAGAAGATCCAGCATACTCAGTCACTCTCTGTTCTTTTTGGTTTCCAGTACTGGTATTTATTTACTACAATACTGACCCAATGAGTAAGTCCCAAAGTATATTCAGAATGCCAGCTCAGAAAGCTCTCACCTACATATGCATATAAATCAATCCTTTCTCTTGCCTAAGAGGTTTCCTTCACCTAAAACACTTCTCCCCATTATCCCCCTTTAAATCAACTTTACACTTTTCGCTGCATTTGAAGGCCATTCATTTAGACTTAAGTAGATCAGGTGAGAAATTTCAGGATGTAAATGTAGTAATCCAAGATCTGATCTGAATGGGCTTTGCTGGAAAAACAAATGCTAACATATGCTGTTGAAAGAAGAAAACCAAAAGGATTGGCTATGCAGATTCTGCAGGATAGATGCTGATCCAAACAGAACTGGTGAACTGATACATGGGAGAGAACGGAAGCTCAAGACAGAGCCAGTTAATGAAAGAAAGAACTAAAAAAAAACCCAAACCACCTTATTAGATATTCCTGTCTTCTCAAAGTGAGCACATTATTTCCAGTTTTTAACAGATCCATCTGCATAATCTGCATACAAATTATCAAACTAGGATGAGACACCTCTGCAACAGAGAGTACTCTGTTCAGCTGAACAGTGCAGATTAACAGAAGATTGCAGACACAGCTGTACTGCTGCACCATTGCAGGGTCCATTCTTTGTCAGCTCTTGTTTTCTGGTCTGTAACTCATATTTTTAATTCTGACAGTAACCATCCCTTCAGCCTTTAGAAGAGTCTCTTTCCTGTTGTTAGTTTAAGGCTTCACTGAGCCTATCCTCTGCTGTCAGCAGAGCTGCTCAAGCTGGCAGCTATCTACTTGCTGCTTCTCACCATCGGCTTATATCACCTCTAACTACAGAAGCCTCTCTCAACTGCATACCATCAGTTATACTCAGGAGAGGTTCAGTCTCTCCTCTTCTGCCCAGCAGTTCAATTTGACCCATATTTGATCCATCTGTGGCAATCAGATTAAGGAAAACTGCAACTTCCCCACTTGTGGCTGCCTAGCCACAAACTGCGACCAGAACGTAATGCACAGTTCAGATACATCATTTCTTATCAGTTCAGTGGAGCTGTCAAATCTCCTGTGACAGGTCCACCTTTTACTTAGACAGCTTTTCATTAATAAAAAAAAAATTAAAAAAAAAAAAGACAATGCTTCCTGGCATTTTATTTCAAAAATGTTTCAAGTTTCCATTTATTCATTTATATTACTAGGGAACCTTCAGCATTTGCACCCTTTCAGCACTTTCAAAACTCCCCTTCTACAAACCACCAGCTAGCAATGACACAGAAGACAACCTCTTGCACTATTTTCAGACAGCTGAAGAGAATGATTGCACATAGTTAAGAATAATTCATCAGTACAGCACTTAGCCCTCCTGCCCTAAAAATGCAAGGTAAAAAAGTCTTCTCACAGCACATTATTTTTGTCTTAGAGCCCACACATTTTAGCTTATTAAATATTACTATTTATTGTTTCCAGGAGTCGTAAAAGGATTATTACCCTAGTTATTAACTTTTTAAATTTCTTGGACCCAAGTTTCAAATTTGTTACAAAGATACAAAGTTGTTGTGTATGTATAGCTTCTATTATCCTTCATCACACCCCTGGAAAAACAGCATTACTGAAAATAAATAGCAACAAGCATGTTCTCCTTGCTAATAATTGTAGGAAAATTCTACAAAGCTGAAGTACATGGATACTTTCTGAGGCTGAGCAACTACAGAAAACTGACAATTCCCTACTCCTCTTACACAGGTGACATGCCTTTAAGACAGACTTTACCGTCCTCTGGAGAGTCAATGCAGAGTTTAAGTGTGAAAACTAGATAACATGTGGACAGAAAGAAAACAGAGAAGTATGAAAAATTTGAAGAAGATGGGTAACAGCTTTTAAGTTAAACAATAGCACTATATTCCTTTCCCCTTTCTTAGGCACAAGAGTTTGTCTTACTACATCTGTGAAACATATGGTTAAATTTAGATGAGGTTAACATAAGCATTTAGTTGTTTAGGTCAGCGTGTACACTGATCTGCTCTAACAAAGCCACATGATTTTGTTCACAAAGGTTTTACAAGCTCTGATTTAGAATCTTGTTTTGTATAGCAAGTTGAAAAAATACAAAATGAAACTCCAAGAAACTACAACCGCTTCCAAACCTGAAACTTCCAAGCACAGGAAACAGAAGGACTGCTTTGGAACTGCTTCAAACTTGCACTTTTTTAAAAGAGAGATTAAAACAAGTCTTGTACTAACATTATCTGCTCATATTGCTTATTTTCCATGTACTGCCATTATTTGTTAAATTTGTTCAGTACTGAGATTTAAGCCTTAGGACTGTGATGGGCAAGAAAAATGGAAGTACCTGTGTGGTCACTGACAGCCACAGAAGTAGAAACAGGAAGGAGGAGGAAGACTGCCATACAAAGCCAAACTATGCAGGATCCAATGTACTTCATCTCCCCCTGGACACATGTGAACAATCAGCAACAAATCTGAAACAGAAAATAAGAATATTCAGAACCATCTCTTTTTCCCTCACCCCATCAGAAAACTACAAACAAGAATTTCTGAGCTGTAAAGAAGAAGCTGCTAATCATACACACAGTGTTTGAATTATCTGTTGTAAGGAGCTACCAAAAAAAAAACCCTAAAACCTCCCAGTTTATGTAAATTCAGAAACAAATGACAAATAAACTCCTTTGTCTCTTCACTAAACTCAGAAGTAATACCTTAGAAATATCATCTCAAAGACATTAGTTATAAAGGCACTAAATTTTTGTTTCATTAGTAATAACTAGTTTTCTTTTACTTTTCTCACAGGTTTTCAATTTTGAATACATCAGGTAAACTGTTTGGCGTCACAACAGTGCCAGTGACTGCTGAAGCAGTCTTCAAACCAAACAAGGACAAAAGAAATCAAGATAATGCTATTTCTCTACCTTGGCAAAATATGCACGTGTGTAGAACAGCCTGTGCTGAGCTTCATTTAAATCTCACAAAATACAGTCTTGGTTTCAACAACATATCTTTGTCCTCTAAATGCAGTCATCAGATTGTTTTTTAAGCTGGCTGCAATGTACAGATAGATGTGAATTTAATGAAACACAGTAAACAAAAAGTACTTTCCTAATAATATTTTCTGAAAGAAAACCAAATCACATAGCTGAATGCGATTTTTATGATTATTTTCACAACGCACCTTATTCAGCATCAGAGTTGTACTGTCAGTCACTTACACTGATAACTACATCATCATTAACTTTTCCAGCCTCCCCAACAGCAGCAAAGTGAATGCACATTCAAGTAACATTATCATTTAATTTCCTGCACCTGCTTTACAAGCAGGCACTAGTGACTCACTAGAGCTGCTGCTCCAGAGGTCTCATTTTCTGAAGGGCTCTTGCCCGCTAGCTCACTAGTACCACCACCCCCTCGCTGCCACCCCACCTCCAGGCTGGGCTCCTCTCCCACCGCCGCTCCAGGAGGCTCTGCTCCCTCCCACAACCGGAGCACCGCAGCCTGCGGGGGGTGAGCGACCCGACCCGTCTGTAGCTCCGTCCGTAACACGGCAGCACCGGCACTCTAACTGATCTTGGACTGAGTTGGGTTTGCTAACGGGAGAGTTTAGAACACCAGGCGGGTGAGCAGCCTGGCAGGCGGGCGGGGCTAGGCGGGGAGCAGAGAGGCGCCGGCCCGGGCGGCTCCCACAGCCCGCCCTCCCGGGTCCCCGCTCCGGGGCGTCCTCTAACCCACCGCCCCTCGCACCGTGCTTGCCAGGCCCGCCTGCCCAGAGCCTGCCTGAGCGTCGGACTCGGCCGCCCCGACGAGCCGAGAGAGGCTCAGGCACCCTCCGGCGCTTCCTCCGCCGCCCGGGTCGGAGCGGGGCTGGAAGGGGCACGGGCAAGGGAGCCCCCTGCCGCCCGGCCGCGCCGCCACCTGCGCGGCGGCCAGGTGAAGGGCGCAGGCAGAGACGCTGCGGCGCCGTGGCCGGGTGAGCAGCAGGAGCGGCGCGGGGCTGGTGGCGGCGGCCGCCTCCGGCACTGCGGCCTCGTGCGCTGCCCCGGTACGGCGCTCCCCGCCCTGGAGGGCATGGACGGTGCTTCCCTGCCGCGCCGCTGCGCGCAAGCATGCTTCTACTCGCTGGATGTAGGCCACTCGATATGCGTGCTAATTTTAATGATAGGCACCAATAGGTAGATTTTTTAAATTTAAATATATGCATACAATTAACGAGCATGCTCGGCACTGTGGCGATTTTCAACAGTTTAATCGGGTTTGTAAATTACTGATAATTTAGTTTTATGTTTTTATTAGCATATTTTAGCACATACCTATACCTATCCAAACATACACAATGCATTTGCCCTAAAACACAATCACGAGCAGAATCCTGTAGTATATATTGATTATGGTACATTAAAAGCTTACTGTATACATTATGTTTATATAGGACACCGACTGGCGAAATTGGTGCTAAACTTAAATGGCAATTTTGAAAAACAAAAAACCACAAACATAAAAGCCCTGAATCAGACCACCACAAAACAAACTAGGAATAGTTTAGTGTGTGCGTGCATGTGAGATCTTTAGACAATTAGCTACAAATAATGAGCTGCTTACCTTTAGTTTCTATGTCAGTATGTCCCCTAGAAGCACTGGAAATGCCTGTACAGAGCTGCCGTAGTGCCGAGGAGTTGCTGGAGTGAGTCTCCAAGGAGTGGTAGAGGGGGATGCAGCTCTGTCCTTATTAGTCTCACACAGTGTGACCCTCCCACTCTGTAAGAAAGGACAAACAGCCACCCTGATGGAGATTTTGCATAATCATACTTACATATACCAAGTCCAGTAACAATGTAAGAAATGTTGGTTTATTTTTTCTCCTTCCCCCTACAGCCTCCCCCTCCACCACCCCCCCACACCCCTCCCCTGAAATATAAAGCAGTCCCATTAATTAAACTGCTAGAGTATGAATGCATGAAACTCTTTCAGAGTATCTTGTTTCTAGTTGTAAAGAACCAACTGTGTACATTAGCACAAGCAGAAACTAGCTTTTATCACTTCTGTGTAAGCACACATTGTTAATTTTATATACTTTCTCATAAATCTAAAGTGAGCCATCCAAGTAATCAAAAGAGTGCATCTATTTATGGCACTGATTCTGCAAAGCACAGCAGATTACTGACATTTGTTTTACCTTTTAAAACCCATCATTTACAAACCTGAATGTTCTTGCACTGTAATATCATCTGCCTGTGATGAAATGGTGAGATTGAGCACTGTCACTGGCTCTCATCTAAATGTGCGAAACTGTGCTTTTCTCGAGTTCTCCAAGTGTGCTTGTGGCAGTTCTCCATATTGCATTTTAAAGATGTACACCAGACAGAAGGACGGAGAAAAGTAAAATGACTAGAAATAGATACACAGAAGACAGAGAAAGTGGGACTTTAATTGAGCACATCTCATTTACATATATCCAAGACACATTTTATCTTTTTCTAGTAGAATCATTCTCATGGGGGAGGGGAAGGAAGGAAGGTGGTGAGTATCGTATCAATGTTTATTAGTTTAACATCAGTTTAGTCCAACTGATCTTCAGGTCAGAAAATTCACAGAGTTAGCTTTCTGCTTCTCCCCTCACACTTCCAACAGGATTTGGAAAGTGCTTCCTCATTTCAACCAAGATAACTAGCCAGGATACCCAACAAATCACATGGAAAGGTATGAGCATCTTTCTGGTTTAAATTTCAAAACAGTTGTTGCTCTTCCCAACTTAGAATCATGAGAGAAAGATGAAATTGCAGCTTATGTACGTTTGCTAAGGTGTTTTATTGCACAGCCTTGTGGTGTGAGTTTAGGCAAGTCACACTCCTCGCTTGCTCATTCTGTAAATCATAGAAAGTAAAGCCGCCTTACCTCGTGGGGCGAGGTGCAAGAGCCCAGTCCTACAGCTGACAAGTCATTGGAGCACTCCCTTCCCTTTCATTCGATAAAGGCTTCAGTGTTGAGTCCAAAGTCACTGTTTCAAGCAGAGCTGCAAGATCCTCAGTTGAAAGACCCTTTGTAAAAGCTCCGCTCTCAGTGAAAAACTATCATTTTTTGATTTGAAAAGAACTGCATTTCTTATTGCTCTTTCAAGCTACAAAATTCTTTAAATCTTTTAATTCTTTTTATATGCCCTAAATATCTGGATTCAGCTCTGTTACATGGATATATAGTCTTACTAATTTCAGTGAATTTAAGTTCTGAATTTGCTGAACATTTCAATTGCATAACACTTTGCACATACAAACAGTTCGTTTAAAGAAATATTTCTGTCCCTCAAAGTTTCAGTGTTGCTCAAAAGTCCAGACCTAAACTGAGTCGTTTCCTGTGAAGCAATAATGAAACATAACCCCTAAACCAAGGATGTTGTTCTACTGAGGTATCAACACTCCAAATAGAAAATTAAAAATACCTTATTTAGACCACATCAACTTCAATACACTCCACATCCATATGAAAGCAGGAAGTAGAAGAATTAGAAACCACTACAACCTTCCCTGGCTAACACACACGCTTCCTGTGCTCTGCCCAGGTCTTCAACTGAACGGGATTATGCCAGTTAACATAAAGGTAAGGAATTACAGTGATTTATACTAGTTGAGAACCCTGACACTAGGGACTGACACCATACGTATTTATCGATAACACTGTTCACATTAATGAATACAGTCTTGCATGTCTAATGACATGAAAATTTGGAACAAAGAAAACCTTACTGTTTACAAACTTCTGTCATTAGCCAAAAAAGGGTCTTCTCTCCCTGCCGCCTGCAAGATAAGCAGCAAAACCACAAGTGACAAATATTTCTCTCATCATAAACAGCTTAGAAACCCCCACCACCGGCAGCCTTGTTCACTTGCAGTTACTTGCAGATACATCGTTAATACATTTTCGATACATTTTCTCATGTCCTTTGTACCCAGGAAGTACTAGAAAAACTGAAGATAGGAGCTGAAGCACCTGTAGGAAATGCACAGTATCCCATGTTATCTTGCAGTAAGAGTTTTCTAGCTAGCTCTAAGCTTAGCTAAAGTACTTGCTTGCACACAGAAGATGGGATTAGACCCAGATGCAAGCAAAGGCCAAGGCATATACAACAAGAAGCAGAAGTTTAAAACCATACTTAGCACAGACATGCAAAGCACATTCCATCTCCTGTGTGAAGGATGAACTGCTCACTGAACAGCTTTTACTACGGCTGCAGTTGCAGGCAAGATGTGGGGGAAGAAAGGTGAAAGAATCAAGGTGGAAAAGGGACAGACTTGTTTTTTGTATAAAATCTTTCCTTATTGACAACATTCACTTCCAAACTTTGTTTCTTTTCCAGCACAATTAGATACCCAAACCAGCCAAGTAGCATAATTCACTCTTGGCTGTGCGGTGCTAACAGATTTGTCTCCATCTCATTAGACCCACATTTTTAATTTGCGTTGCTTATGACAATGCATATGCAGGAATGAAGCTGCAAACTCTATAAAAGCAGCAGTATTCTACTTGAAAACAATTCTTTAAAAAGGAGATTAATTTTAAATGCCACTTATCATACTAGTTCTCACTGAATGTAGAGCTTAGTATTGCTATTCCATTGTTTAAGCCCTTATGTAAGATTGCTCATTGCCAGATGATCCTTTCTGTCCTCTGCAAAATTTGCTGGTCATGACAACTGCATTCCACTGAAGCAATTAAAATATAAATGCTTTTAAATACATTAGACTGAACTACAATGAACTTAGACAAAACAGATGGAATCCCAGCTTTGGGGAAGTTAATGGAAATTTCAACATTGATGTAAATGGGTCAAAAATGTCACTCAAATGAGGGAACTTTGGCAAAAATTATATCAGAAAGGAATTATTTATATGCATGTGCACACACACTAAGCACTCCTAAACAGCAAAGCCAACAGAAAAGCTGGATGTCATTTCATTTCTTCTATAGGAGAGAAAAAGAGCGGAAAAAACTCCAACTGCTACTTCTTTTTCTGAATACTTAGGAAGCACTCAGATTTTCGGTAAAGCCAAAATAACTGTCAAAAAGAAGCAGAGAGAATACTTACCACTATACTTCTGTGGTATTACTTGTCTTGGCTCAGACATTTTCTCTATTATTTGATGCTTTATGACAACTCTTAAAGAATTAAATATTCATAAATATAATGGTACAGCAACAACAACAACAACAAAAGGTCTCACTTCATCTCCAATTCTGATGCCACTGCTAAACCCAATCTCAAAAAAAAAAAAAAAGAAAAAAAGGAAAAAAGTGGAGTTGTATCATTTGTAATGTTTAATGCTATCTGGTCCTAATATGTTCCATATTTTTCATAATGACACTTTAATCCAAACTGTATACACTGCAAAGTAAAGAAATCAGTGTTATATTGCTGTTATTTACCAGTTGCAAACGTGTCAAGAGTTGTTATCATATAATTTGTATTCTTCACCATTCCAGAAAAATACATTTCTGTGCATATACTACTCTCTAAAGTGTTAGTATGAAAATTAATTTAAGTTTCTCAAACCTGAAACAGTGCTGGATTTGTAGAATTCAGTAAAATGTCAGTCCAGTCCAGGCTTGGAGAAACAATGATAAGATTAGTAGTATGAGAACAGGTATGTCCTTCACCTGTTAAAAGGCATACTTCACTTTGTCTTCCTATGGATGATTCTATGATATAACTGCACTGCCATATTACAAACAGCTTG